CCTGTTCAACCCTAAATTATTTTATAGTTTCATAAGAATTGCTTCACCCTCCCCTGAAATGCAGCAGCTGTTCGCCACTGCCCAGCGTTTTGGGGCAGGAGGCGAAGGAGGGTCCTGCAAGTGTGGTGACAAGGGGACTGTGGGGAGGGAGGTGCAGCGGTCCACACTGGGATTTGGTTGGGGCAGTGACAATAAATCCTGTAGCCTCTCTGAAAATGCTGCATCCTTCATTGGTGACGGTTTGTTTGCTGGAGAGATGCTTCACCAACAATCATTGCTTTTGTGGGATATTTTGTCAGGTCAAGGCAGGGGAAGGCCTTAGACCCAAAACCTCTTCCTGCAATGCATGTTTACGTGTGGGTGGGTGGGAGGGTTTCTGTCCCCATTTGAGAATTCTTTCATGCAACTATCAACCCAACACAACCTTCCCGAGCTAAAGAGTCAGGCTGAAAGTGGAATGGCCCCTGTCCCTCACACCCACGCAGCTGGATGGAGTCTTCTCCATACCTTCACCACTCTCCTAGCAGAACTGTTTAACCCCTCCCATCTCATTATAGTAATATATTTATGATATCACCCTCGAATTTCCTGCCCTTAACAACCCCAGAAGGCTGGGAGGGAATGAAGCGTTTTTGGAAAGTATTTAATGTTACTTCAAGAGGGCAGGAGGCGGTCGGAAAAATAGATGGGTGCAGGAACCCTGGGCTGACAGGGCTCTCTGCAGGACAGCCGGGGAAAAGGACTGCACCTAGTGAGAGGTGCCTGTTCGCCTTTCCTACCTGGGGCTGCAGCCCAGGTCTAGTGCCTGTCGCTTCACTGCCTTGCTTGGAAAATGAAACAGGGCTGCTGGTTACCATCTGCTTGTGTGTGCTACATCTGCTTGTGTGTGCTACATCTGCTCAACTCTCTGCCCTCCTGAAGGGCTTGAAAAGCTGCCTGGGTGCTGCAAAAAGGCTCAGCTCATCTATTAATTCAAACATGCACAGGAGGGACCTTATTTAACATGAAGCTGAAGCCCCCAAGACCTAAGGAGGGAAGGTGAAGGTCCCCACAGCTGGGTGGGTGTTTCTGGAGGCTTCTTCTCTCTTGACAGCAGCTAGCAGGGGCAGGTGCTCCAAGACATGGTGTAACAGCCTGAGCTATTCCATGCTCAGGATTGAGTGTGCACCCTCAGTTCTCCTATACACACATTTTAAAAAGCTTTTTGATTCTTAGTGCTCCAACGTTGCCTTAGAGGAAGGAGTCTGGAAGGACAGAGAGGAGTGTGGTGACAAGTCTGTACAAAACTGGATGTTTCAACTCAAAACTCCCAGGTAGCAGAGAGGAAGGGATGCATGAAGTGAAGCTGCGGTGTGAGCCAGGGAATTTTTCTGAGCTTGCTCTTTTTCTCTCTCTAGGTGTTCATCTCGGTGGGGCCACGCTGACCATGCTCAGGAGCTTCTGTCTCCAGCTCATGTCCTTGCTTTGGATCCTCTTGGCCCATCACCAGCTTGCCCAAGGTGAGTCTCTGTAGCCATGGGTCCTTCTCTTTTATGTCCATCTTTCCAAATCTATCCTTGTCATTGCTGAAGTCTCTTCAGTTTTCTGTGCAAAATAGAGCTGTCCTGACCTGGAAGACCAGAAAATGCTGCTCAGTTATCCAGCACCTGGGGAGTGACTGGTGGCAACTGTAAAGATCCTTGCTGTGGTGCCTATGGGGATGGCAGTGTCTGAGAAGACCAGCAGTGAGGGGTCCCGCTGCTCTGTCTCTCTCAGTTAGGGTGAAGGTCCCTGTTTGGAGAAGCAGGATGAGGGGGAAAGAAGATCCCAAAACTGAACAGCTAATCCTGGATCCTGTGAGACAAAATCCCTTCTCAAAGATTAGTTTGTTCTCCCTCCACTCCAGATAAGCAGCGAATTCCCAAAGCCATCTGCCAGGAGAGATGGTTACAAATAGGAAAGGCAATGACACCCAGGCTTGGGCTGAGCTGTCCCACGATGCTGTTCCTGTTCCACGGTGGCTTGTTTTGGGAGGCTCTTATCCTGAGCAGTGGGACCTGCTGCCTCACTGCAATAAAACACATGCATGGGGGATTTCTCTCTTTCCTAGGCAGCACATCATGCAGCCTGGGGAAAGCCTGAGTGTGCTTCTTGGTGTGGGGGCTTTAACCTGCTCTGGTCTAGGGTAGAGTGGTAAGGGTGTTCATCCCTGGGCCTAGCCTAGGATCGTGCTGGGCTCCTGGAGAAACCTTCTGCCTCCTGACATTTGCTCTAGCTCTACTGCCCATGGAGCTGGAGTGACCCTGCTGCCCGTGGGGCTAAGATGCAAGCAAGTGATGCGGGAGAGGAGAAGGTGGAGATGAAAGGGGACACCTGGCTGGAGAAAGCAGGCCAGTGCAGAGCAAAGGATGAGAAATAGGACAGCGAGGCCATGGCTCAGTTACAGCTTCTGTGGCCTTTAAATAAATAAACAGAATTGGATACCTGGCCCCAGTCCTGCCTCCCTGTGCTGCAGGGGGAGTGCTGGCAGCTGGGTCCTGGTGGAGGGCAGGAGCCCCAACTAGACTGCTCCATGTCAATAGCTGTCCCTGGGGATGGGGACATCCTGGAAGATAAAGAGGAACCATTCTTTCCATTCCTATCCTTAGTCCCTTTGTGCCCTTCACAGTACTTGGCCCTGAGCTTTCCCACCGTACTTGCTGCATGACTGTGGGACCAAGGTCCCAGGTGGGTCAGGCTCTGTTAGACAGATTGCCTTAATGCACAGGCACCCTCAGCTCATGCCCAAAAGGACCCAAAGTCTAAGGGAGGGATCTGTGAGAGGATGGGGAAGATAATCAGAGACTAGGTAGTTTTGAAGTAGGGTCCCATTTCTCAATAGAGGCAGTGTTACTGCTGTTTGGGTGACTGCAAAATCTTCATCTCTCGTGTGGCATCTAGCCATTGAAAGGAAGGTTCCCCCACCTTGCAGTTCCGGGGAAGGGCAGGCTGAGTGCTTAGGAAGGAAAAAAAAAAGCTGTGAACCAGCAGGGCCAGGGGCAGATTTGGAATCAGCTATGGTCTCTGCTTAACCCAGCTCCACCCATCTCCTGCCTTGTAGGTGATGACTGCAGCGAGCGCTGTAATCTTGCCCACGGCTCCTGTGACCAGGATGGGAAGTGCAGGTACGGCTTGTCCTTGTCTCTCCACTCCTGCTGCCCCTGACCGTAACTGCTCTCCCTCCCTTAATGCTGCGTCCCCAGTGCCTACACCCCTGCCCTGAGTTGGAGCACCTCCTCTTCTGGCCACCCGCACCTGGAATTGACAACTCTGCTTTCTTCTTACCTGACACCCTCTGGAGTGAGAGATTTTGATACCTCAACTTCTTGCTGGTCCCCTCCTGCCTTTGCTCCAGTGCTTCCAGGGTCCACCCCTCCACACACTGACCAATGTCGTTCTGCTGAGCCCTTTTTGTCTAGATGGGAGCTTAGGACAGCCTGGCCATGCCTGGGTGATGGGAGGCAGCATTCAGGCTCAGATACAATGGGGAAAGTCATCAGGCATCAAGGAAGGCTTGGAGGTCAGCCAGTTTGCTTGTCCTCCTCACTGGTTGAGATGGGGATGCTCTCCCTGGGGGCGTGGAAGAGAAGAGCTGCCAGCATGCACATTAATGTCTGAGGGCAGCAGGGGTCCCCTCTCAGAAGCCTGGGCTGTGGTAGGGATCTTTGGGTGTTTTCATAAAGGGCTCGCCAGCAAGCTAGGGGCTACCGCAGCAGAAGTATGTGTGTGATCCCTGGCATCCCAGCTGTCGCTGGTGCCCAGGTCCCTCAGGGGCAAAGCTCAGAGCCTGACCCTGCCCTTCCACCTGGGAAGCAGCTGTGTGGGTGCCCTGGGCTGCCACAGCCCTGGACATTGCCTCTCGTCCCACTGTAGGGCCACCTGGAGCCCCCATCCTGCAGGGAAGCCCCAGAAGGAGCAGGCTGCTTCAGGCTGGCCTGGCTACCTGTGCTGCGAGGGGACAGATTGCCCACCACTGCCCTGTTCTCCTTGCTCAGCCCCCTTTTGCAGCAGAGCCCCGGTGTCACACCATGCCTGGGCCTCTTGTTCTCGCCAGATGGAGCAGATGTGGCCTGACGGTGACCATAACTGCACTGGCCGCTGCATCAGGGAGCATCCAGCTCTGGTTTTGTGGGGCCCTCCATTGTAGCTGCAAGGAGCTTGCTCCTCCCTGAGCCCTCTGGGTGGCTGTGGCTGGTCAGGGAAGCCTTGTGCTGTGAAGCCCCGGCCAGAGACACTGCACTTCTCCATGTGGTGGGTGGCCCAGCTGCAGGTCTGTTCAGTGGAGGCACATGTGAGTTGCTGCTGCAGATTTTGGGCGTCCAGAGCATTTGCTGAACACTTCAGCAGCTTGGCAGTACCCTATTGAAATCACCCCAAACTCAGGGAGTCTTGGCCGCTTACCTGGCCCCCTCCATGGCAATTTTTAGGTTGGCCATCTCCCTTTTAAAGAGGGAGAAGAGTTGATGGTGCCTACTCACTGTGGGTACTGGGGGGCAGGGGTGCCCACAGCCCTCTGCAAGCTCATGGCTGTCCAGGTATGAATGTATTTCCCCAGACTCTATCAGGCACATGGTATCACCTCCATTCCCATTAAAAAAGCCTCTCATCAACATACATATTTGGTTTTTTCACCATTTTCCTCATCTCTTTGGAACAACCTGCAGTGACAATAGGCAGTCCAGGTGTGAATGTGCAGCCTCAGACCAGCCCAGCAAAGCTGCAGTCACTGCACATCTTGCTGAAACGAGCCCCAGACATGAAAAGGAACCCCCTTGCTTACTCTAGAGACTGCGTTGTTTTTGTTAGGTTTAATTTCATGCTGTTTTGAGTATAGCTTTTGTTGCAGCTGTGGCCACCTCTGCTCAGCTCTTGTCTTGTTATCGCTTGCTTTCCCTCTTGGAGCTGGCAGGTCTGAGGGAAGCCACTGGAGCAACACAGCTTGGCTTTACTTAGCCATGGCTGTTGCCTTGCTCTTCTGGGGCCAGAAGGCTCGTTGTGTGCTGCAGGTTTTCCTGTCATACACCAGCCATGGCAAGCAAGGCTTTGCAGCTGGATTACAGTGCACTTCAGACAAAAAATTACACATGGTATAATGAAACGGGGTGCAATGAAACGTGGGCTTTGGGGCCTCTGGTCTCTTTCCTCAGCAAGTTGAGAGTTAGGGATGGGGCTTTTCTCTGCCTGTCAGACTGGCTGCACGATGAGGGAGGTGCAGGAATTGCTGAGCTAGTGCAGTGGGATATACAGAGTGGTTGGCTGGAGGAGAACACTGGGACATGGGCACTAAAAGCAAAGCCGCTGAGCTCTGTTTCTGCCCCCTCACCCTCCCTGTCTGCAGAGGATGAGTCTGCTCCTGCTCTGCCCACTTGTTTCCTCAGGAAGATGAGATGCCAGTACTGACCTCCTCTGGAGGAGGGAGCCAGCAGGTTCATGGGGGACTTTGGGAGGGTTTCCCAGTACCACTGTATCTGTGGGAACCCTGCACAGCAAGCAGCCAGCTTTTCCTCCAGCCCCTGCTTGGGTTTTATCACACTGCCGTTCCCTGTCCTCTTGCAGGTGCGATCCAGGCTGGGAGGGCGAGTACTGTGAGGACTGTGTGCGTATGCCTGGGTGTCTCCATGGGACGTGCCACCAGCCTTGGCAGTGCATCTGTCACACTGGCTGGGCCGGCAAGTTCTGTGACAAAGGTAAGTCCTGGGCTGGACATCCCAGCTTCTGTTGCTGAGGGCAGAAGGCCAGCACACCCTGCATGGACGGGTGAGCCAGCAGAGCCAGAAGCCATCCGGGTGATGCTGCTTGAGCTGCCTGGGAGATGGGATGTTGCCTGGCTGCCACAGCTAGGACTGTCCCGTTCCTGCAGAAGAGGTCAGGCTGCCGGCACCGGCTTTTAAGAGCTGCCATGACACTGTCCAGCCTCAGGAAATGGAGCAGATGAACTCATTGCCTTTCCCACGCTGTGGCTGGGCTCTGGGCAGCCCCTCCTGCTTCCCCCGGGGCTTCCTGCCTTCTGCAGGTGGCTGGTGGACTCCCATCCTCCAGCTTCAGTCTCCTCTGTGCCAGGGGGTCTGCACTGGCTGGCCAGATGGTGTGCACAGCATCTTCACGCTGTGCAGATTTGCAGGACAGTTTGCTTTCTCTCCACCCCTAAGCCTGTGCATTTTGCAGACTGTAGCTGGGAGGCACCATGTAGGTACTGCATTTCTGTTGCTTGCAGGTGCCTGTTGGAGGGCAGGAGGGAGAGGCTCCTGCAATTTTTCCATCCCCACTGGGTTTGATGCGCTGTGTTCACACTGAATTGGCCACATTGCCCCTCTTTTGCCACTAATTCCCACCTTTTTCTTTCCCCTCAGACATACACATCTGCGACCACCAGTCCCCATGCCAGAATGGAGCTCAGTGCATCTACGATCGAGATGGGGAATATTCCTGCCTGTGTCCAGAAGGCTTCCATGGGAAGGACTGTGAGATGAAGACGGGGCCATGTGAGAAGGCAGGGTGGGAATATTCCGGCCTGTGTCCAGAAGGCTTCCATGGGAAGGACTGTGAGATGAAGACGGGGCCATGTGAGAAGGCAGGGTGAGACACAGTGGCAACGGCAGCGAGATTACAGACAGCATTGGCTTCAGGTCACACACTGCCAAGTGGTGGCCCAGCTGAGGATTTCCATGCACTAATAGAGTTAAGCCAAAACCACCTTTGGCTTTGGTTTAGCTTCATGCACCACACAGTCCCATCTGGGCAAGGTCTTTGTTGTGATCTGAACAGATTCCCGTCCCTCACTGCTGTTAGGTGTGATGAGCTGACACCTGTCATGCCTTTGGGGAGCATCAGGAGGGCACGTTTCCTCTTCAGATCATTTCACTGAAGACCCTCTGTGGGGGGTGGTGGGCCTGGGCACAGCCACAGCCTTTAAGGAGGTCCCACAGCCTCTCACTCAGGGAGGCGGAAACTCCTGCCCAGTCTTCTCCTTGAGATAGCTGACCCCATGGAGAGAGCCAGTGCTGGACGCACTGGCCACACAAGCACCTGTGTGTGTTTACCTCCCTGGGGCCAAGGAAGCTGCTCTCTCTCCAGGGCCATGACCCATCCTTGCTCTCTCCACACAGGTCTCCATGCAAGAATGGGGGGCAATGTCAAGACGATAATGGCTTTGCCAGCAACTTCACCTGCCGGTGCCTCGCTGGCTTCATGGGGGCTCTCTGTGAGAATGACGTGGATGACTGCCTGATGCGTCCCTGTGCCAACGGTGCCACCTGCCCTGATGGGATCAACCGCTTCTCCTGCCAGTGCCAGGTGGGCTTTGAAGGGCGTTTCTGCACCATCAACATCAATGACTGTGCCAGCCAGCCGTGCAAAAATGGAGCAAAGTGCTACGACCGCATCAATGACTATGACTGCTTGTGTCCTGACCGTTTCACTGGAAAAAACTGCGAGATCTCCGTCCCCGAGCCCACCTGGGCTCCCCACTACCACCCTGTGAACCACGAGAACAATGGGGGCGTGAAAAGCACCACCAGTGAGATGCTGGGGGTGACGCAGCCAGAGCCTGTCAGAACTGCAGTCACAGGGCGGCGCATGGCCAACCACAGCGAGAAAGAGCCGGGGGGAGGTTTGTTGAAAATCTCTGTGAAGGAGGTGGTGACCCAAAGGGACTCGGGGCTGACCGAAGCCCAGCTGGTGACAGTGCTTGTGTTTGGGGTGCTAACGGCAGTGCTGGTCCTCATCACCGTCCTGCTAATGCTGAGGAACTGGCAGAGGGGCCGTCAGAGGTCGAACTGGTGCCAAAGCCCTTCTCAGGCTGCAAGGAAGCTCCAAGACCAGGAGTGTCAGGTGGGCATGCTCAACACCATCCTGATCGAGCCCAGGAAGACAACAGAGCTGTGAGGTGCAAGGACTCTGAGTCAGTCCCTGGCAGGTCATCGTGCTGGCAGACCCCTCGAACTGCACCCTGGGGGGCTGCGCGGGCAGAAGCCAGGCAGCAGGGAAGGGCTCCCAGGGCAGCAAACACATCAACAAAACCCCTGGGCGTCAAGCATTGGTGTGGTGGCCTTGCCTGGGTCTGAGCTGTCTCCCACCCAGCCAGCACCCACAGCCACCTGCAAGCAGGGCTGTGTGGGGCCAGCCTTGCAGGGGAGCAGCAACGTGCCGCTTGCGGTAGCCCACGCCATGCAGGGCTGGTACAGTCTAACGTGAGCTCTCAGAAACAGGACGGGTAGTGCTGAGGAGGGCACAGCCTTCTTGCAAGCCCAGATTCTGCCAGGGCCTTTGTAACTTCTGTCTGTGACTACTGGAAGGGGCTTTGCCCTTGTTTCCACTGGTTTTGGGATGTTTCTTCTGGGGCCTTCAAGATGGTTATGGCTGCACAGATCTCCTTGCCCCAGTACGGGATGGGGTGGTTCCCAGCTGTTTCTGGAGGCTGTCATTTCAGATGCCATGTCCCTAGGGAGCTAGCAAACACCTTTGCTCCCTGGCCGTGTGGTTCTGTGAGCCAGTTCAAAGAGACTCTGGAGATCATTTGGGGTCTCCTTGTGCCCTTCTTCTGCCCTGGGTGATGCCCCCTCCTCCTGCTGTCAGACTTGGGGTTACAAACACGTTCTGTACTTTCCTCCTGATGATCCAGGGGTCTTCTCCCCCCACTTACCAAGCCGTCCTTTCTGGTCTGGCTACAAAAGACCAAGCTCCTTCCCCTCTCCAGCATGCACTTCTGCCTCACCCTTTGCTGACAAAAGGAGCATGGCCTGCTCCCCTCTCGGCCCGAGCTGGTCCTTCTTGTATGCCCTTGCAGGTGAAACTGGAGATGGACAAGGATGGAGATGTGCTGTGGCTGGTTCAGGAGCAATACAAGCTTGAGACCCTCCTTTCCTCTCCCAGTCGCTCCGAGGCAGGCTGCTGGCACTAACCTCAGATCAGCCATGGTAGCATTTCTTGATGTATCAGCAAAGGCTGTGCTCCCCACAGTGGATGTGAGGACAGGCTGCCAAGCCTGGCATGACCGTAGGAAGCAGATACAATACTGCCTTCTCCACCATTGCTGAAGCATGGCTGAGAAGCAGTAGATGGCTAGGTCACTTAGCCTTTGAGCGAGGTCTGCTCCTGCAGACCTAGACCTGGTCTGGTGTGCAGCAATCAGTGTCTCTGTGTCAGGGTCAAGGTTTTCTGTGCCTCCTCATGACCACAGAGGGATAAGCAGTGGGGTAAAAAAGCCCACAACCCAAACCCTACTACTGGCCTGTAGGGTTGCAGAGCTGGTTTCAAGATGGTGTGAAGAGAGCAGGCAGAGGAGCAAGCACTCAGCCAGGAGGGAGACATGGGAGAGGGGACTGGGGCTTCATCAGAAAGATTATTTTTTTAATACATGGATGGATGATGTACCTTTATCAAATAAAACAAATACAAGCCCAGAAACAGCGTATCAGCGAATCATAAAATTTAGGTTGCAAGGCACCTCTAGACACCAGCCTCCCGCTCTCAGCAGATCCAGTTAGATCAGGTTGCTCAGCTATGTGTTCTGGATGAGTATCTCCATCACTTCCCTCAAGAATGCAGACCCAGACTGTGGCACAAGAGTTGTCCTGCCCCATGCTCTGGCTGCAGGGGTGGAGATGGCTCCCACAGTCTCAAAGGAAGGAACAGGACCTGCCTCAGGACAGCGTAGCAAAGGTGTGTACCTGCTAGGCATTGCCTTAGAGTGTGGGGCAAGAGGGAAAAACCAAAGACTTGAGTCCAAGGGTGTGCAAATGGGAAGAGCAATGTGATCCTAAAACTGAAAGCAGCTGAGGGCTTGTGCAGCTGCGAGCAGGGCAGGAGGGATAGGGAGTATCCTTTGGAAAAGTGGTCTTGAAATAAACTAGCCTTAGAGGCCTCTAATGTAATCATGTTCTGGCCCTTTAGTGGAAGGCCTTCACCACTGTAAACTGGAGGAAGAGCAGCAAGGTCCCTGGGTGCAACCTTCTGGGCTTGGGAAGGTCAGTGCCCTCTGAAAGAAGTAGGGAGCAGGTAGAGTTGTCTTTGTGCAGAGGGGGCACCACTCCTGTAACTCACAAGGACGTCTGTGTCTGAGGGGAAAAGGGGACAGGGACATGAATAATGGAGCTTCACTAGGATGATTCCATTTTATTTTAAATTGTACATGTGAGACTAAGTCTCAGACTAAGAGTCACTGATTCTTCAGTGAGCAGAAAATCCCTCTGTAATCTCAAAGGGGAGCCTTGAAGGGGAGCAGTATCCCACCAGTCAGGCTTGCACGGCCCTGAACATCAGGTCCCATCTTCCCTACTAAAGGAAAGGGCGCAGTGCCATGCTTCCATCCCTGAGGACACACAGTTGCTGTCTGCAGGCAGGAATAATCCCTTCCCTCACCTCAACAGCTCCTGGCCCTGCAGAGCTGGTGGCTGAGGCAAGAGGAAAGCCAGGCACAGAGCCCGGAGGGCTGACTGGGCCCAGCCCAGGAGAGAGGTCACTGCTGCCCGCTGTGCAGGAGGCGCTGGAACAAGGAGCCATCTTTCTGGCTTAGGCGGGTGGGTGAATCCAGCTCTGCCACTCTCCCAGCCTGCATCACCAGCACGCGGTCTGAGTCCAAGATGGTGTTCAGCCTGTGGACAGCAAACACCAGAACACATTGATGGATCTGAGGAGAAACCCTGGATGCTGCTTTCCCTGCTGGGGAAGCTGGCCAAGACATGCCCAACATCAGGATGTGTGGAGCATGTCCCTGTGCACTCAGGGGTGCACTGCAGTCCATCCCCCCAGAGAGCCTCTGCACACTGCTGAAACGTAGAACCTCCGAGGAGAGCACAGCGATGCCTTCCAGTTGCTGGGCAAGGTAGGGCACCAGGAGCACAGAGGGAAGCTCCGTGGAGGGAAAGCTCAGGGCACACCTGATTCTGGGGTTGCACAAGATGTCTCTGCTCCCACAGGAGAGTTATTGCATTGCTTCTGTTTGCCCCTACATTTCATCACCTGCCACCTCCTAAGAGCAGCAGAAATGGACTTGTCCATCAACTGCCATTCCCCAGCAGTCTGGCATCTTTGCTTACGCTGCCACCACCAGTGGATTTGTAGTTGCCAGACTGGCAACCACAGCACCGGCAGCACACATATGCGCCCAGTTCTGCCCAGACTGCTAACAGG